CTTTCTTGCACAAACCCCGTTGAATGACTTGACCAAGTCGTCAAAGACTAATTTGACTGCTTTTTTAGCAAGACCATCTGTGTATTCATTTGCCATAACTGAGACATAAGCTTCAACTGCACGAACCAACACATCGATACCACAGTCTTCTCGAGCTTTTTTGTTGATGAGACACAGAACATTGGGTCGATGATAGCAACTGATGGAGTCAATGAATAACCCGCAAGTGGATACTTCTTGCCAGTCTCCGTGTCTGAAATGACAGAAAATGGAGTGACTTCAGACGCCATTTCAAATGTCAAAGAACTCATGAAACAAATTTGTGAGAAGTACAAGAAGGATGGCAAGAGTGAACACTGAAGAATTCAAGTTTGGTAAGACCAAGATTTTCTTCAAGGTTTGTGTTCTTGATGAAATTGAAGAGAGGAGAAGAGTCGATGAGGAACCGCAACTAAGGACAAAGAAATTGAAGCTTTGAAGAAGAAACTTGCTGAAGAAATTGCAAAGAGAGAAGCCGCTGAGAAGGCACTTTCTGAGATGAAAATCAAGAACGTCGACTTGGAAGCTTTTGTTTAAAAGCTTAAAGAAGATATCGAGTCAAAGAATGTAGCACTTGAAGAGGGCTGATATGAAGTCACAAGAAGACCCAAAACACATTGAGGAACTTCAAGGTGATATCAAGAGAGGAAAGGAAGACTTGAGCAAGTTAACCAATGAGTACAAGAAACTTAAAGCCGATAATCAAAGACTCCAAGATCAAATTACTGAACACAAAGCGACTATTGTTAAGAAGGATAGTGTCATCACTGAGTTGAACAAAGACATTGAAAATAAGGAAGGCGAAATTTCTGACTTGAAGAACAAGCTAGAAGCCGAAGAAAACAACTCAAAGGATCTTGAGACAATTGCACGAAAAGGAAGACGACATTGCTTATTTGGAGAAGGAGGTTGTTGTGTTGAAAGATCAAAACACTCGACTTGATGCTGCTAAGAAGATATGAAAAAGTGGTCTATCGAACGCAACGAAGATTGAGAATTATAAATCACAGATTAAAACACTTGAAGCACAAAAGAAGATGGCTTTGGACGACAAAGCGGAGGCCGAGAAGACTGCCGCGGACCAATCCGATAGAAGAAAGAAGATGGAAGACCAAGTTAAAGCACTCAATGCATAACTCTCATAATTTAAAGTCCAAGTCAGTGCACCAGTTTCAGTCGCTCAAGAAGAAGAGAAGAACATGTTGAATGCAAGAATTGTTGAAATTCAAACTCAACCCGATGAAGAAAGACAGAAATCTGGCAATGCAGATGCTGTTCGAAAGGCTAATTCACAGAAGGAACTTGAGAAGGAGAGAGCAATGAAACAAGAAGCCGACAAGGAAACTCAAAAACTTAGAGTTAAAGTCACCGATTCAAAAGCTAAATTGGTGGATGCTGGTGCTACTGGAGCTTCTATTGCTAAATTGAAAGCAAAATATGAAACAGAATTGGAAGGAATCGAAATGGAAAAGAAAAAAGCACAAAACGCGGCTGCTAAAGCTAAGAAACAAGCTAAACAGTATACCAGAAAGGTTGAAGAGGCTGAGAGAAAGCTTGTAGAATTTGAACGGAAAGAATCCACATTCAACACTCAAATTGGTAAGACACAAGCCGATTTGAAAAAACACAACAACCAGTCAGAGACGGCCAATTGAGAATTGTTGAGTTGGAAGATCAAGTCAGAAAGGCCGGTGAAGATTTGACAACAAACAACTTGAAGTTGATCGGGTGAGTGCAATTACTTTTGAATCTAAGAACAATCCGATTCAAGTAAAACATGAAATGACAAGGATAAATAATTATTACTTTGTTTTTTAGTTTTTTTAAATTAAAATCTAGTTAAATACAAGAGTCAAGTTTTTTAAAAATATAATATTTTTATTATTTTTTTATAATTTAATTTCAACTAGATGCCTTGAGTCTTTGAAAGATGGGCTCTAACTTATAGTTTTACTTAGAGTTTATGGGTAGACTCTAATAATTCCACAAGAAATGCTTTTGAAAACAATTTTCATTTAGTGATGGATCTTTCCGATGACAAAAAAGATTGGTGATGTACTATTTTTGATAGGAAACCGGGGTTTTTGTCACAAATCAATACAAATTGATTAAGTCATTTTTACTTTATCTGTACAGGGGTGTAACTGAACATCTAAATACACAACCTAATACTAAACACAGTGTTTTTGAAAATGCCAATTGATTGGTTTAATTTTTTATTGTTTTATGAACAAAAGGGGGTAATTAAAAATAAAATTTCAATAAAAATAACAAATGAAATAAAACCAAATTTATCATTAAAAATGTTCATTGGATTAATATTGAGTGTCTCATTTCACGACGATTACAACTTTTTGATGATTAAATTTGGTACATTTAGTCTTTACACATTTTGTTTTCTTTTTGATATTTTTTGTGTTAACAATATTATATTTACATCATTTGTATCATCAATAATTTTAAGTCTTCTTGACAAAAAGTTGTACCAAAATCAAGACAGAGTTCTTCTTTACCAATATTTTCTTCAAATATATTGAAGTTGCCAGTCAAGTATTCATTAACATCAACTTCACGAATTTCACATATTTGAGATGTGAAGTCGGCATTATAAAAAAGATGCGGCGAATCGTCGCAATCAATTACGTGAATGTTTTTCTTCATGTAAATATACAGTTTTACAGATCGATTTTGTTTGTTCTATTTTTATTATTTTATTTCAGGATGCCGATTCAGAATAGATCCAACAATTTTTAATAATTTTTGGGGGTAAAATTGTTGATCATCCATATTTAGATTATTAAAAGCCAATTTTAGTAAATTAAGAGTAAGTTTATGATTCAGTTGTAAATTTATATGTTCAGTTACTTTATCTGTAGAACTTAAAAAATACATTTAAAAGTGGCGAGAAGAGGAAGCGAGAAATAGCGTTAAAATTTATTTACAATTATATTTTGTTAATAAAACATGTTTTTGAATTATTTAAAAATAAATTAAATTATTGGTTCGTTTTTTGCAATTAGTTATTGAACTAACAAGTAATAACCCCTTGTTGATGTTTTTCTATCTTGTCATTGCTTTTTCTAATTATAAATTGGTGTTTTTGCTTCAATGTTTAACGTTTTAATATTAAATAGTGCCATCTTTTGATAATTGGTTGATAATGTATTAATTATTATATACTGGTTCTGTTTTTGGATCTTATTATTGTTTTTGTATAATAGTTTCTTTTAGTAGTATTATTATAGTTATTATATAGTTTTTTGTTTAAATAAACATTGTTTTTATATAGTTATTTTATAATAATTTTATATATAGTTGTTTTATCGTTAATAGAAACTGTATAGTAACGATTGTCTAAGTTTCGTTCTTAATTTGCTTTTACAGTAAAAATTCAATCGATGTGTGGTTTTGACCAATCAAAAGTGGCCTAAACACCGATGGAATATAATGATTTCCCAAATTTTTAGAACTAAAACCCGCAATATAAATGTCGATTGCAAATTTGTTTTAATTTCCAAAAAGCAATAACTTGGTAGAGTACCGTGAAAAATCACTGCGGCGTGAAATATTACTGCGAATTGTTATTGGGCAAATAATGTTATTGTTGCTTATAAAACATAAAAAAATAATCAACTTTGTAAAAATGTTATATAATATGGCTATCAATTAAAACAAGGGTAAATTCGTAAAAACGAACATTCCAAACAACTCAAACTATATATTGGTTTTTATTTCATAGTTTTTAACAATTTATAACATATAATACGAAACAATACATCAAACATAATAACAAAAACGAATAAATTAAAACATCGAAAATTTGAATAAATAGTCCACCTTTTGGACATTATTATTTGAAATTTGATTTCTGCTCAGCTAGTCGTTAATTTTTGTTGGGAATATTGAAATTAATAACTCCAATTGAATAAACTTAAATTACCATTATAATCAATATGTTTTAACATAATAATAATATAAAAACACACAGAATTATCAACTCGAATTATTAAGATCGAATAAATGTTTCAACTTCGAAATTATTATAACAACACAAATTGTAATACAATAAACATAAACAAAATATAAAAACACGTTATAAACATATCATATTGATAAATTTATTAAATATAAATCAATTTGATGATAACAAACGGTTAACGAGCGTGGGTTTTTCAAATGGTCGAAAATTTAATCACACCAATTTAAAATTTAAATAATTTGTTGAAATGAAAGAATTAAGTTGTTTGGGGTTCTGGTGTATTAACCCTTTTAAAATAATGATAATGTATAATAAAATTATCCATAATTAATCGACTAGTTTAATTATATGATAATAATTATTAAAAATAGTTTCACATTTAAAAAAATAAATTATAATTTATTGTTGTTTTACTAATAATTTTTGTTATTGATATGTTGATGTTAATTTATAATACACGTTAATTAACCATTTCACTTGTTTATTGTTTATTATATTTTAATTAAATTTATACTATAATAATAGTTCATTGTTTGATTTATTTGATGTGAATTGTGATTGTATTTTCAAAACATTTCACAATCAAAATAGCCAGTGATCATACAACCAACATGTCAAGTATTTACTAAACGATTTCGATATTACAGATGTTGTTATGAAATACATAATTATATTGTTTATTGATTTTGTTTTTAAACCATTTTTGTGTCATGGTGTGACGGGTTAGATTCTTTCTTTAATTTTTTTACTTAAAAAAATCAACGACTTTCATAAAACATCTACAAGACATTGAGTAATGATTTTTCAAATAACGGATCATTATAAAATTAACCAAGGAATTCACTTTATACATCAGAATGAAATTATATTGTTAAGTGATTATTTGGTAACAAAAATTATAAGAACGATTTTTTATTTATAATTTTTAATCTTTAACAACAATACAATATTGAGCAAAACTTTATTGTTAAAATGTATTCATATTTTGGCAGAGATATCGACTGTTCAATAAAATTATATTTCATAAATTGATGTAACGAATAAATCAATATCAATTATTAGTACATTTATTCACATTTTGAAAATATCAAAACAAATTTTTACTTGATAAAATAATTTTTGGATATGTGAAACTATAATTTAGAATTTGTCTTTTTGTAATAACAAAAAATTTAAAACCGTTTTGTTTTTCAATTAGAAAAGGAAAAAACAAAACCCTCATAAAAAGTATATAAAAACACCATTATTTCTTCTTAACACAATCTGTTGACTTAGCCTCAAAAAAATTTGTAATACAAAATTATCGTTTTTTGTTTTAACAGCTTCGAATAACAAAAAAATTTAACCCAAAATGTTTTAAAACCCTTAATAACATTATTTTTGGACAATAACAATTCGCAGTAATATTTCACGCCGCAGTGATTTTTCAACGTACTCTAATAAAATATTATAAAAAGAAAAAATGTCAAACAAAAATCAATTCAAAAAAGATAAGAAAAGAATAGCAGAAAATGCTCCTCTCAAAATATAGAACTTAACTTGAAAATGAAAAATAAAAAAATAATATTTTTAAAATAAATTATGATTATTCTTAAACAAAAAAACAATTGATAATATAAACTAATCTTGTATTTAACAAAAGTATTTTGACGAAACCAAGGCAGTAACCAAACCATACGGCCATACATTATTATCCAAAAAAGACCAACTAATCAATAAAAAAATGAGAAAATCTGGCCCCTAAATCAGTGTCTTGACCGATAAGTTCGATTCCTTTCGAATTAAGTTCTTGTTTAGTCTGGAGCAAATCTTGGAGTTGTTGCTCGACGTCTTTTAACTGGTTAACAAGTTGTTGGATTTCGACTTGGTTTTGAGTCAAAGTTTGTGTCACGTCACCCATTCATTCTCTTTCTGTCAACAATGGTGGCACTTCTTCAAACGTAGCAATTGTTCTAACATCATAGGTTGATGGGTATTCTTCATCTTGTTGTATTTGACTTTTTTCAAACAATGTTTGAAGTATATTTCCTGCAGTTGGATCCCGGAACATAGCATGTGCCCAACAGTTTGTTATAGTATCTTTTTTCACGTTGTTTGCCCAACAACATAATGCAATTTTAATTGCTTCATCAACTTGTATTTTGGGAGGTGTGTAAACAGTTCCATCAGTTTTTGCCTTTTTCCAACTTTCAATACATCTCACCATCAGTTGTATTCTGTAATAGGTTTTAAAGGAGTTAATGATACCCGCATTGCAGGGTTGAAACTCTGATGTTGTTTTGGGAGGGAGTCATTGAACTGTAATATGGGTCAAACGAACTTTGTACATGTGCTGATTCTTGTCGTTCTTCTTGATGTATATATAGTTTTTCATCTTCCATTCTTTCAGTCAAGTAAAGCAACAATTTATGTGAAGGAGCGTTGTCTACTAACAAGTAAATGAACCTGTCACGTTCGATAAGTTCCTTGTCCCATTGGAGTAACCATTTTTGAAACAGGTTTGTTGTCATCCACGCGCTTTTCTGTGAAAAGTAATAATCTTTTAGTTCTGGATTTTTTCTTATCCAATGTGGAGTCTCTGGTTTGCCAATAAAGAGAAGTTTTTTCTTTTCACCTGACAAGGAACAACATACCATCATTGTCAAACGTTCTTTGTCTTCTTTGACTCCATGAGCC